TCACAACCTTTTACAACAAAATACGTAAAAATCACGAAAATTCGCAAATTATTTTAAGCTAGAAATTCATAAAAAATTTTCTTTTTAAATCTAATAGATTTTAAATTTTTAATAATCTATAATATATCCTAGACAGATAAATCGTCTYCGCTCAGAATCGTTTTTCGTATACAATAATATAATATCATTGGATTCAAATTTAATTCCATCCATTACAATAACCCACTTSTAACCTACTGTACAGCATACCGACATCCTCGACTTACCCGCCTTTTTTATTTTTTATTTGCTGCTTTTAAATGAGAATATTCTATTGTAATTTATAATTATTATAAAACAGTAAGTTGTGTACAATAGTATGCGCACTGCGCAATGTTAATTTAGAAGGTGGCACGCTAATGAAAAAATTAAATCAAATTGAGTTATGTTAAGACAACACAAGATCAATAACAGTTTACAAATCATACATTTAACTCAAGTTTAATGTAGATCTGAAAAAAAATAGCTAGGTATATAAAAAGTTAATTAATTTTCTTAAACTATTATGTGGATCACATAGAAAGAATGTCTGCGTTCTTTCTAGTTTCTTATAAATTATAACAAACAATTTTATTGGAACGTTATCGTATAGTGTACCTACCTATTTTGCTTTGCATAATTATTAAATATTAAAAATTCACTCATTTCAATTGATTATATAACAAATATAATTTTTTTAATATCAAAAAAGCAATTTAAGGTCACATAATATTATACCTATATCTAATCTAATAAAATATATCTATATCCAAAATTATTTTATTAATAAAAATAACAAAATTCTTTCTATTATTTTAGTATTAATTAATAATCTTTATATTAATGTCCATMAAAACCTTGAAAACGAAAAAATTTCAATAAAAATAAAATGTTTAATTTCANTGTAAATTTTTAAGCTAGTTATGTTTATAAGTCTATTAGAAAATTAACTAACTAGTTAAATATAAATAAATATTTTACTAGTTAATTCTCACCTTTGGTTAATTTTAAGTTTCAAGAATTGGGTAAAATATATTTCCACGTAAATTCATAATTATTCAGATCTTACATAAACAAATTGTACACCTAACATTTATAATACCTAYCAGAAAAACTTTTTATTAAACTATTTATTGTTTCAATCCAATATCATTTTTATTTTCATGCCAGAGTATTGATTACAGTTTGGTTATAATAAAATATGATTAATTTCAAGTTTATAATACGCCTTTTTWTGTTTGTTCTTTTATATTGATAAATATTTGTTTTATTTATTGGGTAATATAAGGTGATAATGGGATATTAATTGGTTTCAAAGTGTTTTTATTCACTTTTTTCTTTTTCTTTTTATAATTTTGAAAAAATAATGGTTTTAAAAACAAAAATTATGTAACATCAAATGTTTGAAAAATAAATAAGTCATTTTCTTTTAAACATTTTAAATGACAGCTCATTTTTTCTGTTAATCTTATACAAAAGCATCCAATTTCCGAGGATAAATATAAGTAGTGGAATAGACCTAGAGAATAGTCTAGAATTATTTTAAGTCCAAACACTAATTTACCCCTTGCTTAATCAAATTMATATCATCCTTATCAATATATATATATATAGCTATGATATAAAATTATAAACAAAGATTTTACTAACTTATTCCAACCATGTTCGGTAACATCGAAAAATGGCTCAATTACTGCTACACCGGCGTTGTTGACTAAACCATGTACTGGACCAATGTCGTACATTTTTTTATAAGTGTCCTCCCAATTCGAAACATCGCAGAATATTTGTTTGGTATTTGGTAATGCTTTAGCAGCACCCTCTTCCTTCTCTACCACTGCGTAAACAAATGAACCCAAATCTATTAACCTCTCTGTAATTTTCTCACCCATACCTAAAAAAAAAAAAATGGATTATTAATTAAATAGTCAACAATGATAAATATTTAAATTTAAACAACAATTTATTCTATGTAGTCTTAAATATTTTAATTAGTTATAGGTACTTATATATTTATAGACAGAAATGTAATTAAGTTGTTATAATACTATAATGAATTATCACAATACTACAGGTATTATATATGATAAAAAGTTAAGCACAATACTTTAAACTTTGAAATAATTGACAAGCAAATATTTTATTAAATATTATCAATCATTTTTGTAATAAAATTTGGTGTATTGTAATTTATTTGATTAACACAAAATTCAATAAAACTTAAAATATGGTGAAGCTAGTCAAACAATTTGGGTTGTTTATAAAAGTAAACTATTCCTAATTTTTATGAATAAAAAAACATGATTGCATTRAGAATCACTAGGTATATTATATTAAATTTATAAATATTTAAAAAATTGTTCTTTAAACATGATTTAATAATCAATAATGGCCCATTCAATTTTAATCAATTATTAAACTAATATATGTTTTATGTAAAATGT